CTTTGCGGACCGCGGCTAGTGGAAAGGAGAAAGAAATTGTAAAAGATGCGTAAGATTGATGGGCCCTTCCAGGCGAGTGCTAACGATAAATCTTTTAATTGTTGCAAAAGGGTGCTATCCTCCCTCCTTCGTTGATTCCGGGATGAGGAGGAATGACGCGTATAAATATGTCCAGCAAGGGTGTGTGCCAATGATCGAACGTGATCTACTCACTCTGATAGTTAACGAATTGGATTTGTTGGAATGTGTGTGATACACGCGCAGTAAAATGGTACGCAGTTCTAGCCCAGCAATGGGATCTATTACAACATCCCAGGTTCATTCGGTGCGCCGGTGGATGCGGGTTGGCCTTTTTGTCTTTCTTGCGGGCCTTTTTCCTACTCTTCCTCCTCTCTGCTTTGTTTGTCCCTCACTGCAGACATAATAATAACCCCATCTGAGTTGATGAACGCGGAACCATGGCCACAAGTCAATGATGACGTATGAACCTCGGTGCAATCCAAATCGGGTCTATATTGCGAGAATGCAGGGAGGAGGTTGCTGGGGGGAGGCCCATTGAGTCATGCCCCAAAAAACATTATTTTATTTACTTTTGAACAGGCCAGGGTGGACAATGGGTGTTGAACCGTTCTGGCGGCTTGGAAAAGTCATTCCTCCGCCAAACGCGCCAGTCGCACCAAACACGCGTCCCACCGGCCCGGGTGCCGGCAGTTCGGTAATTACGAATCTTTCTACTTTGCCCGGGTGGACGGATTGGTTGGTTTTGGGTGTCTATCCTTTCAAGCGTTGTGAGGGTCCTCGGGGTCTTCATCCAAGGGTCCTGTAACGTGCCCGGAGATCCCCAACGAACAACGCGCCCACCGCCGTCACATCAACAATGCACCTTCCGTTTCCCCACCACCCGGCGGTAACACTGCCTGCTATAACGTCAGTCGGAGAATACGCGGAAGGATGCGGTGGTTCGTGTAAATGGGTTCACCGGTAGGATCATCCCTCCATCACGCGACACGATCCTTGCATTGATCTTCTGTTCAGGTTCTGCTTGCAGTCAACCAGGTCTCTGCACCACGAATAGCGCCTCAGATCGGGCTGCTAATGAAACTTTCGTCGCTTACGTGAGCCCGGGTGATACCTACCATTTGTTTACCGCTCTTGTATTGGCGGTTTTGCGATGGATGTTAGGTTCTGCACGAGGAAATCACTAGAGGCTGTCGAAATTCGACTGCCGAATGATTTTACTTCACACTTGATTTTCCATTGCTGCAGTATTCCTATTCTCCCTTCGTGCAGATGTGCAGGGAATTTCTGCCTCACAAAGGGAGAATAGAAATGTGTAACTTTTGGAGGCACCAGGAAGAGATAGCCAGCGATTATCGAATGATTTGGCTATGATTCATAGGTGCTAAAAAGTTAGCTGTTGACTCAATCTTTGTCTCTATGATTCACAAGATCACGCGGCTTGAATGACAGGGTCACAAGGCCACAATTTCGAAAGGACGTCCTCGCCACTTGTAGATGTGGTATTCTCTTACCCCCATCAAATTTTTCAATCACAGAAAAATCAGTTTCAGCATGATTACAACCGCAGAATCCTTTACGGATGGTGGTACCACATGGTCTGACAGAATTTGGAAATTTTTACAGGAACTTTCTGTTTCATTTCCGTCAACGGGGACGTTGATGGGTTTGGTAGGCTCTTTTGAGCCAACAGACGGTGCCCCACTCTTTTTGGCTCCTTCGTTATATGGTCAGCCGAGAGTTATCCAACGATTGGAGTACGCTTTGGTTTCGAGTCCGAACACAACAGTGCGAACTTTTCTTGACGAATGTTCGAACATCGTGAACTCGCGGTCAACTTTCTCGGTTTTGAAACATCCGAAAATCATTGAAGACGGAATCATTTTCGATTTTCAGAGTCAAAAGCACGACGACATACTCCGGCTGGGTCGCTATTTACATCTGATCGTACCCCATCATCCACTTCCATTATGGTTCGACGCGCACCGTTTTGTTGTGGAACATTTCAACGAGTTGAAATCGATGCTTCTTATAGCAAAGATGATCGTAGAATATCAGTACACTTACGCGGATCAACTTTTGGATTACATCGGGGCAGATTGGCTGGCGGCGTATATCATTTTCAATCATGCTCAAGAGGCGGCAGATGCGATGGGAGTCCAACTGATCATCGATTAGTGTAAAGTAGAACCATATCATATTCGATCAGGTCGCGGTTCCAAGGCTTGGAACCCGCCCCTTGTAGCTTAATGTAAAGCGCTGTCCCTTGGGGCAGAGATGCTGGTTCAAGTCCAGCCAAGGGGCGTTCTCGGTGCTCTTAACCAATTATCCATCTCAGTATGTTCTCATCCATTTGGTATCAACTATATTAAGTGAATGAGCGGTGTTATGAGTCAACGCCATTCATGAAGACTACAACGCAAGCCAGGTTGAAAACTCTGTGAAAACCACCACTTACTTCCTTTGATGGGGTTCAAATCAAACTTCCAATCTCATCCTGCAGTAGTTACCGCCAGATGAGCATAACACAACGCTATTTTTCCGTGAAACCTTGCCAAGGTAAATTGCCACCACAAACTCAGTACATTTGAATGTGCCTGGACTGCGTCGTGGAATCGGACTGTACGAAATCGCTCAAAAGCTTGAAGCTCAATACAGTTTTGTTGCCTGCAATTTCCATACTTACCAACTCACCCATTCATCTAAAATAGACACAGTTTGTCAAATTCAATTGCAGAAAGCAAGCATGGCCATCGCAGGAGCGCCAGTGTCCGCCTGCTACTCCAGCTTCCTTCCCTCATTGCTCGTCCCTTGCAAAGCAAGCCATGAGATGTCGCCTATCTCATATATTCAACTTCCAGTCACATCTAGTAGGTGTCCACCTAAAATCAACCGCCAACCGCACATCCTCTGCAACCCCCAAAGCATGCTGACTATACACAAAGCTCGACAACATCTTGTATTCACAATAACAATGCTACTCACAACCACCAACAAAAAATATCAAATACATATATGACAAACTGCGCGACCGTATGTAAACAAAAGACGTAAACGAAGTCATTTATATGGTCCCGAACTGGATTATCCCTATGCCCTAACATCAACCGCCACCCGCAC